ATAAACGCTACCCCAGTGACCAGTTGCAGAAGTGAGGACAGGAGTGGTCTTGAGTATCCCTTCCTTATCTGGTTACAAGGAAGGTTTACAACACAGGGAGTAGATGTCTTTGACGTCTTCCTCTCATCCCTTGTTATATGATGTGTGGTGTATACAGTCACCTTCAGGATTTAAGTTATGGGAAATCAGGGAGCAGAGTGGACATCGCTCAGGGACTTTGCAGCCTCCTCTGGGGAAAGGGTCTGTGTTTTTCGGTTGTACGCAGGATACTTGTGTCACGCTAGGCAGATGCTGGATAACGTGGTGGGCTTCAGCCATTCAGCTGAGACCCTTAAAGAGCAAAGTCCGGGGTTTCCCAGGGAAAAGAAGGAATTCAACCTCAGGACTGTAACACAGAAATCCTGCTTGAGTTTCCAGCCTGCCAGCCTGTCCTACAGATCAAACTTGCCAGCTCCCACCATCACAGGAGCCGGCTGCTTTAAATTCAAGTCATCTATGAATGCATATAGGCGTTTCCTTATCTCCCTGTATATATACACAGGGATTTATTTTATGTAAGTGATTACATATTATTTTATAGGAAAGGGATTTATTTTAAGGGATTTAAAGAATGTATATTCCATTCTGTTTCTCTGAAAAAACTCTGATACAATTGGTTTCACTTGGTTTTCTACTTTCTGTAAATTGTTCACTACGTCCCCATCCACACACTGCCTTCTGGTCTGCAGCGCCTCCTGAGCCAGCGGCCAGCAGGTGGCACTAACGCATCTCATACAGAGCTCTGAGCTGCCAGGCACCTGGACAGGTTCCTACGTCTGGTCTGTAGCAGAGCACACCACCAAACTGGAAAGAAAATCTTCACATTTCTCAATTCGGTGCTAACTGACTCCGTAACTTGAAGAGCTCAGGACTCGGAGGCTGCGGTGTAGTTTGCCCTGAACCCAGCCTGGGAGCGGGGCTGCGACTGGGCAAGGTCTGGATCGCACCACGTGCAGGCTCGTGGGTCGGAGGCTCGTTATTCCTCGCAGCAGCAGCAGCAGCAGCAGCAGCAGCAGCAGCAGCAGCAGCAGCAGCAGCAGCAGCAGCAGCCACAGCGCCTGGTTCTGCACCACGTCCCAGGGCCCCACACGGCTGGCCTCGCGATTCAGAAGCACCTCTGAGCATGGGGACCCAGCATATTCTCTGACTTCCACGGGTGTAAGCACACTGTCTTTTCTCTGAAGAAAGGCTGTTCACTCTACAAATGTTCTTGAAAATCCAGAACAAAGGGAAGCCAGTGCCTTGCTTGCACTGAGCAGTAGGAGGCGGTGGAAAGTCACCTTCAGGACAACAGGGGGAGCATGAGGCGAGGGAGGGAGGGCCTTTCCCACTGGAGGGGGCAAAGGACAAAGGGGCCTCCTCTGAACTGAGAAGGCGGCTCCTGAACACTGACATCGGTCCTCGGGGCCCAAGGCTGCGACCTGGAAAGGGGAGTGCCGGCTGGGGCGTCTGGCGCATCCCCCTCCCACACATCAGAGAAGGCGTGTCCTCCCCCCCACCACCCCCTGCAGCCAGTTATGGACAGAGCAGCCTTGCGGATGTCCTCTGCTTCCCTGCCCCTGCCCCTGGGAAGGGGAGCCCGTCTGGTCTAGGTGC